TGCTGAGCGCCATCTGTTCTGCGCACGGTGCCAACTGGCGAGGGCAGCGCGAGCCCCTCGCCATGGGAACGAAAACCGCCGCCGGGTGCATCTCGCAACCCAGCTGGGCGCGGGGGCATGCGAATGGCCGACAAGGCCGTCGGGACACGGCCTACTTTACCTAGTTCGCTCTGGCCGAATAGAGCGAAAGAAGAAACAGAGGAGGCTCGGAGAGCTCCAGATGGCTCCAAGCGCCAGGAAGTGGCACGCCCAGGCCACCAAGAAGAAGGCGGGGCCCGGATGCTCAATCCTCCCCGCCCCTCCACGTAGAGCCACCTCAGTAATTTGCTCAACATGGGCCTGCAAGACGTCGCGTGAAGCCTCGCCCTGGAGCCTCTGCCTAAGGGTAAGTGCCGCAAGCCCCCAAGGAGCCCCGTCTGACACTGACCCCCCCCCCACCATGGCTAGCATTCTGCCAGCCCTAGAGGGGGGGGCCGTGTATGGAGGAGGAGGAGGAGGAGGAGGAGGAGGTGGAGGCGGAGGAAGGGAAGGAGGAGGAGGAGGAGGAAGCAGGAGGAAGCAGGAGGAGGAGGAGGGAGGAAGAGGAGGAGGAGGAGGAGGAAGCAGGAGGGAGGGAGGAGGAGGAGGAGGAGGAGGAGGAGGAGGAGGAGGAGGAGGACGAGGAGGAGGAGGAGGAGGAGGAGGAGGAAGCAGGGGGGAGGAGAAGGAGGAGGAGGAGGAGAAGAAGAAGGAGGAGGGCGACCAAACTCAACGGGCGCGGAGGACGGCACCTCGGCGGCCGAGCACGCCCCTGAGTGGCAGCGCGAGGACAGGGACCGCAGCGGCAGCACGGCCCCTGCACACCCTCCAGCGGCCGGCGGAGCCGCGGCTCCCCGCGGAGCTGCGGAGGCCTTCCTGGCCAGGAACGCTTTGCGGCGCGGCGCGGCAGCGGCAGTCCGCACGCGCGCGGGCAAGCCAGGAGACGGCATCGCCAGCTGTCTGGCAGCAAGAGCGGGAGAGAGGGGGCGGAGGGAGCGGCCGCGGGCGGGGGGGAGGAGGGCGAGCGCTCATGCGGCGGGGACCGTTGCGGGGCGACCGGGGCGGCCAGCCGGTGGTGCACCCCTGGCAGCGGGCGTGGGGCGGCGTCGCGGCCACACCCCAGGGTTGGGGAGAAGGCTGCAGCCTTGGAAGGAAGCAGCGGAAAGGCCCCGGGGTTCCCAGAGGCCGCAAGACGTCGCTCTTCGATCCCTGGCCCACCACCACGAGGCGTCGATCCCTCGATCTCTCGATCCTCGGTCGGCTTCCAGGGGTCTTCCCTTTCCCCCAGTACCCCATCCTCGTGTTCGGCCTGGTGCTACCGTGCAGCGCTGCGAAAGGCCCCCGCTGGCGCAACCCCTCGCCCGGACAGCAACCGCCGTTGTCGCGCCTGGTGTCTACCAGCGGGTGTTCCTGGGGCCGGCGGTTCGCACCCGCGTCCCTTCTCTCGCGCGTGCCTGCCTGGCCCACTCCTGTCACGCAGGCAAATCCTCGCCTGGTCCAGAGCGCCGCGCTCGCGTAGCCCCCAGCACCTCCAGGATCCCTCCAGGCCACCGTGGCCGTCGCCCGCAGCTTTTTCTGCCCAGGGTCGGGCGCGGCCTGCTGTCGCGCCCCCCCCCCCGCACACCCCGTTGGGCGGCGCGCCGGAGGGGCGAAGTGCGAGGGGAAAGGCATCTTCAGACGGCAGCGGGGCTCTTCAGAAGCCCTCCCAGCCTCCCGAGAAGCCCTCCAAGTGCTTCGGGAAAGGGCCAGGGCATTCTCCTCAGAAAGCCAGGGACCTGTGGAGCCTTCTGACAAGGCCCGCTTTCGGCGTCGCGCAAGGCGGGATCGATCAATGGAAGAGCGGCGAGGGCTGCAGAAGAGAAGCCTTTTGGGGCCCCCCAATGGGGCCTTCAGGGCCCGAGACGTCGACCTTCCTGCCCGCCCGACGCATCGTCCCCCCATTGAGCGGCGCCCAACCGCCCCCCCTGCCTTGGCCCCCGGTGCGCGCCGCCCGCCCTTGACGATTTTCTCAGCCCTTGGCGCTCTCGAGGGAGAGCGCCCGCCGCAGTGCCTGCGGGCTCCGCGGGCCCAGTCGTGCCCACCCCCCCGCCCCGCCCTTCGCCCGCCATGGCGCAGGGCTCGCAGGAACTTGCCTCCCGGGGAAGAAGGAGGGAGGAGTTCGCCACTCTTACCTCCCCCTCCTGCTTTTTCCTCCTCCTCCTCCTCCTCCTCCTTCTCCTCCTCCTCCTCCTCCTGCGGCTCCTCCTCCTCCTCCTCCTCCTCCTCCTCCTCCTCCTCCTCCTCCCCTCCTCCTCCTCCTCCTCCCTCCTATGCTCCTCCTCCACCTCCCCATCCGTGTCCCCCACCTCCTCCTCCTCCTCCTCTCCTCCTCTCCTCCTCCTCCTCCTCCTCTCCTCCTCCTCCTCCTCCTCCTCCTCCTCCTCCTCCTCCTCCTCCTCCTCCTTTCCGTATCCTCATGAATTATCCCTCCCTGTCGAACCCCGAGACCTGTCGGAAGGGCGGGCCTGGCGTGTCGCCTGAGATGCGTTTGCCGCCTATGAGCCTGAAGCCTGCTATTGGCAACAGCACATTTTGAGGGCGTGCCGCTTCCAAAATGCGTTTCTCGTCTTAGCGCCGCGCACGTTCAATCCAAACTTCAAGAGCTTCACGGATGGAGGGCGAGCGCTTTCAAAACGCCGCGCACACACACTCGTCTTAAACATGTGCAAGAGTTTCACGAATTGAATGCGGCTCCTGTTCAAAATGTGGTTATCGCATTAGCGCCGCGCAAATTCGGCTTCAACCAGAGTTCCACAACTGCCACTGGTTCCCGTACCAAAAATAACATTCTGGAACGGCTCAGGATTGCCAGGGCGCAAAGGTCAATATTGATTCGCGGTGTTGAAGTCCCAGGAGTGGCGTTCTGGCACGACTCAGGGTCGTCGAGACGCAACCGTCAGGTTGATTCGTGGCGTTGGAGTCCCGTGATTACTGTTTTGGCACGCTTCAGGATATTCAAACTCTTGTTTTCAAGGGGGGCAATCTCCTCACTGGACATGAATATTTGTCGGGGCATATGGAGAGGGAGCTTTGAGGGAAGGTTCACTCCAACATCGTTGATGAGTCGTAGGTTTGCACTGGTCCATCTCCTCTTCCTCATCACCCTCCCCCTCCCTCCTCCCGACTATTCCTCCTCCTCCCCCTCCTCTTCTTCCCCTTCCTTCTCCTCCTCCTCCTTCTCCTCCTCCTCCTCCTCCTCCTCCTCCTCCTCCTCCTCCTCCTCCTCCTCCTCCTCCTTCTCTTCAGCGGTGTATCGTCCAAGAAAGTCGTTAGTTCGGTCATCCAGGCCGCTCTGAAAGGCCAGCGCAATTCGGCGACTGGCGTGTGGGACTTGGCAGGCGCCTGTAGGGCTGTTTGCTTAAGTAGGAAGGAGAAAGCGTAAGGATGTTCAGAGCTCGTACGTACCTGTTCTGTCACGCGTGTCAGCAGTGGCCCGCGCCTGCTATTGGAAGCCGAGGGCGCGGCGTGTAGGGCACCACGACACCAGGACACCGCTGGCCTCATCGGAACCCAGCTTCGATCGACGGGGGACAGAGTGCATAACTCACCGATGCGCTTTGTTACCACTGTTCGGCGGCGAGCGAAGGGGGGAAGTGAGAAGGGGAAGGCTTTCTCAGAAGGCGGCGAGGTCTCTCAGAAGCCCTCGCGCCTTCTGAGAGGCTTTCTGTCCTCCCTCCTCCTCCTCCTCCTCCTCCTCCTCCTCCTCCTCCTCCTCCTCCTCCTCCTCCTCCTCCTCCCTCCTCCTCCTCCTCCTCCTCCTCCTCCTCCTCCTCCTCCTCCTCCTCCTCCTCGTCTTCCTCCTCCCTCCTCCTCCTCCTCCTCCTCCTCCTCCTCCTCCTCCCTCCTCCCTCTTCGGGGAAGGCTTAGCAAACTTCTCAGAAGGCTGGCGGACTTCCGAGTCTTCCGAGAAGGCCCGCCCTCTCTCTCGCTGCCCCACCGGGCGCGCCGCCGAGTTGTGAATTTCGCTGGGGCTGGCGGGGACGGGTGGCATCGATTACGACAGCTTGCGGCATGAGACGCATGCTTCGACCGATCAGCTCGGTGCGACTTCGACTGGAGACGTGGTGCATGTCAGCGAGGCCGCCCAGCACATCCGGTCTGGAGCGCAGCCAAAGTGGGCCCGAGGGCGCCGGCGTGGATGACCTGCGCGGGCCCCACTTCGGCGATGGAGTTCGCGCCGCCCCCCGGGACGCACGCTTGGGGAGCAGCGCGCGTGGATCAGGAGGGAAAGAAACACACAGACACAATTAATCCTCGATTCCCAGAGAATATGAGAAAATATGGGAAGTGGGGGGGGAAGACAAAAAACCAGAAAATGTAGGAAAATATGGTGGATATTTCTATTTGTGTGTATTTATTTGTGTGTCCCAGTTCCCCTTCAGTGGAGGCTCGCTGCAGCGCATCCGAGGGCTTCGGCAGCTGGCCGGGCTCGCGCGGCGGCCGCGCCGCCGCGGGCCCCCCCCGGGGCGCAGCGCCCAAGCCGCTCGCCGCCGCGGCGGCGCGGCTCCCGCCGGACGTCGGGCAGGCGGCTGGCGCCACCGCGCTGGACCTGGCGGGCGGTCTCCTCGAGCGGGGCCAGCGGCGGGGCGGGAAGAGCGCGCCCGCTTGGTTCGACGCGCAGGGCCAGGACAGGCCCCTCCTCCTCCTCCTCCTCCTCCTCCTCCTCCTCCTCCTCCTCCTCCTCCTCCTCCTCCTCCTCTCCTCCTCCTCCTCCTCCTCCTCCTCCTCCTCCTCCTCCTCCCGCCCGAGGCTCCTCCTCCTCCGCGGCCGGCCTCGTGCTCCTCCTCCTCCTCCTCCGCGGCCGGGCTCCTCCTCCTCCGCGGGCGGCCTCCACCGGTGGACCAAGAAGCCCGGGGGCTGGCAAGCGAGCCCCGCGGGGGCTGGCGCGGCCCTGCGGGGTCGCACGGGCGCGGCGAGGGCGCCGACAGTCGAGTCGAAAGGGCATGGGAGCCACGGGCGGCCCCACAGTGGCCCGACGACTTGGGCGAGCGGCCACCCCGGGAGGCCGCGGGCGAGATGCGGGCCACGCGGCGGAGTTTCCGCGAGCACGCGGGGGCGTCGCTCGACAGCCTCAACCCGGGGCACCTGGTGGCCCTGGACGACATCGGGATTGAGCGCCTGATCGGCGTCATCTGCCTCGTGGAGGAGAAGGCGCCCCGGCCCGCCTTCCTGGCCAAGATGGTCTCCCTGCCGAGGCAGGGGGGCTCGGTGCGGCCGATCGCGCTCGTCGCCGCGCTGGCTCGCATCCCTGCCCGGTTGAGGCGGCCGTTGGCCCGCGCGTTGGAGAAGACCAGCGAGCGGCCGTGCCGGCGGGCCACGTCGGCGCGATCGCGCGAGCGTGCGGCGCGGCAACAGGCCAAGTGGGCAGCAGGGCGACAGGGGGCATGTCCGCTCAAGGAGTGGGGGGCCGCCACGCTGCTCCTCGGCCTCTGGAAGGCGCGCGAGCAGGTGCCCCGCCCTCGCCGGCTGCAGGCAGCGGCGCGGTACAGGTTCGACTAGACGTAAGAGTGACCTTTCGCCGGAGTGACCTTTAGCGCGGGCACTGATGGGCCCCCAGATGGCCGAAAACGAAGCGGTAGCAGCCGGCTAGCGCGCCTGGATTCGGCCCCCCCGCGGCCCCCCAAAAGCCGCGCACCAAAGGTCATTCTTACGTAGCGAGGGTCATTCTTACGTGTAACCGACAAGCATCCGCTCTGGCTCCTGAAGATGTCCGTCGAGCTCTACAAACTCCCACGGGCGCTGGCCCTGGCGAGCGCCACGTCGGAGGCCATCTCGGTGGAGCAGACAATCTTGGAAGGGTGCGGGTTCGCGACCACGCTCCTGAAGCTCCAGGTGCTCGAGCCCCTCGACAGCATGCGCAGGGCGGCCAGGAGCCTCGAGGCCAGACCAGACCTCGCGGCCCCCTCGGGGCGCTGCCACCTGCGCAACCGTCGCCACTTTCGCGGGCCCATGGGAGGCCCCGCGCAGTGGCGTCATACGCGCATCCAGTCCAGACCTACTTCGCGACTCCCTGGGGGTGCTACCGCTTGCGCAAGCATCGCCACGTTCGTGGGCCCTGGAGAGAGCCAAGCGCAGTGGCGTCGTGCGCGCATCCGGGCCAGACCTCGCAGTTTCCTGTGGGTGCTAATAGCCACCCGCGCAGCTATCGCCTCGCACGCGCATCCAGACCAGACCTCGCGGCTCCCTGGGTGCTGCCACCCTCGCAACTGTCGCCACTTTCGTGTGCTCCTGGGGGGTCCCAGCGCAGTGGTGACATACGCGCATCCAGACTAGACCTCGCGCAACTGCCGCCACTTTGCTGGGCACCTGTGAGGCCCAGCGCAGTGTTGTCATACGCGAATCGAGACTACATCGCGCGGCTCCCTGGAGCGCTGCTATTCGCGCAACGGCCACCACGTTCCTGGGCTCCTGGGAGGCTCCGCGCAGTGACGTCATACGCGCCGTCCAGGCTAGACCTCGCGGCTCCGTGGGGATGCTGCCCCCCGCGCAATGGTCGCCTCTTCCGTGGGCTCCGAGAAGGGCCCAGTGCAATGGTGGCACAAGCGTACTCCAGATTTCGTAATAAAGGGAGGGGGGTCTCATTTCCGGGGCGGGGGGTCTCTTCCAGGCTATCTTGGAGGGCCTGGGGGGGTCTGGGGACGATGTTTTGGAGGGTTCTCCCACGGGGAGGTCTGAAATGGCTTGTCTTGGAGGGTCCAGACACCCTCCCTTTTATTACGAAATCTGGAGCATCCAGATTAGATCGCGCGGCTCCTGGAGTGTTGTCGCTTGTTCAACTGTCGCCACTTTCGGGGATTCATGGGAGGCCCCGCGCAGTAGTGTGGTAAGCGCATCCATACTAGACCTCGCGACTCCCTGAGGGTGCTGCCACCCGCACAATCGTCGCCACTTCCGTGGACTCCTGGAAGGCCCCGCGCAGTGTTGTCGTACGCACATCCAGACTAGGCCTCACAGCTCCCTGGTAGTGCTGCCACCCGGGCAACTGTCGCCACGATCGTGGGCTCCTGGGAAGGCCCAGCGCAGTGGTGACGCACGCGCGTTCGAACCAGGCCTCGCGGCTCCCTGGGAGTGCTGCCACCTGCGCAGCTGTCGCCACTCTCGGGGCGCCTGGGGGAGGGGGCAGCGAGATGGTGTCATCAGCGCATCCAGGCTAGAGCGCGCGGTTCCCTGGGGCAGCCGACGCCGCGCGCCGGACACCGGCAGGACCACCAGCCGGACGTCGACAGCTTCCAGAGCTGCCGGTCCGTCGCCCGCCAGGAGACATCGGGATCCACCGCCACCGCCCTGGAGGACACGGCGATGTCCGCCGCTCGGCCAACGATGCGCACGACGAGAGGGAGGCGGAGGAGGACGAGGAGGAGGAGGAGGAGGAGGGGCAGGGAGAGAAGGCAAAGACGAAAGAATGAGGAAAGGACAGAAATGTGCACATATACGGTACATATA